GCTGTGGGTGCTGTTCACAGGTCTTGCCAACCGCCGTCTCTGGAAGAGCCTTCTGGGGCCAGCTTCAGCCCTCCCGGGCCAGGCTCCATCTGGGGTGTGGTTTCCGGGCTGATCAGAATGTCTCGTCCCTACTTCCCCAAAGCAGCCCTCTGATGGGACAGCCCAGGAGCTGGCCCACCAGGCCAGACTCACAGAGGTGGCCTGTGGGCGACATGACCCGGCCAGCCCTTGCTGACGGGGGCCACAGTCTGCAGGTCTGATGTCTGGGAATCATCTGGAATCACTGAAGATATTTCAGGAATAAAGTGACTGGGTCCCTGAAGGGCGAACTCGGGCAGGGCTCAGGGGAGAGTGCTCTGCGCACCTCCTGCACCTGCGGGGGAAACAGCTTCTCGTGGCCTCGGTTTCCACCCGTGAGATGGGCGACCACTGGCTTCATGGGGGTGGCAGGAGGCCGAGCAACCCTGACCCACCCCTGGCACGGGCTGGTGGGCAGGAGGGTTCCAGAACACGGAGCAAGCCGCAATTCATGCCCACACGCTGTCCCTGGCTGCCTTCTTCCCAGAGCCTGGGCCGGGCCAGGTGGGGGACCAGTGTCCATCCTGAGCCCTGAGCTGTGGGAGGCAGGAGGTGCCCTGCTGGGGGGCACCATGTCCTGGCAGCTTTGCTCAGGCCCTTTATGACTTGAAAGGCTGTTTTCTCCAGCAATCGTGTGCACCCTCTGGCCACCAGCCTGCCCTCCACCTTCAGGGCCAGCCTGCCTAGCTTCCAGTTGTGGGGCTTGGTCTTGGGGAGGCTGGCTGGCAGGCTGAGCCACACCCGGCCCTGCACCCCCGGGCTCTGTTCTTGGCCAGCACCAGCTTTCTGGTCTCCACAGGCCTCCTCGTGCAGCACAGTTGGAGTGGCCCACAGAACAGCCCTGTCCTGTTGGGGGCCGTGTGGAGAGACTCCAGGCATGGCCCCGTGTCCTCCTTCTGCTGCTGTGGCTGGCAGGCCACGTCCCTGAGCCTTAGTTTACGCAGCAGCAGCAGCACGAGGTGATGGCGCTTTGCAGGCTGCCTTCAGAGCAGCTGTGCCCTGGGAAGCTCATGATGCCTGATGTCAGCCACAGACAGGAGAGGAGCCAGGAGGAAGCACGCAGGGCCTCGCGGGGTCTTGTGCATGCTGACCTTGCAGTGCCCTATGGTGGCCATGCTAGGAATGAGCCCCCTGCGGGGGCACAAGACTCACACCTCACAACACCCCTGAGGGAAACCTGCACCAAGAGGAGTGGCCCTCATGTCACAGTGTCTATTCCTGCCACCAGAGGGCAGCACCACGGCCGCGGACCCTGCAGACAGAGGCCCCAGCTGCATGGGCTGGACAGGTGGGCGGGGTTGCAGCCTGTGAATCATGCCCTTAAAATAGCCCCCCAAGTGCAGAGATGTTTCCACGGCCTGGACACTGGTGAGGTCAGCCTGTGTTCTCCCGATAACGCAGGTCATTGTGTACTGAGTGCTGCTTGTTGGCTGGGCTGGTTGCTAGGCAGATGGCTTTGCCCGTGGTCCTAGCTTCCTGCCTGCCACCCCCGGCCAGGCAATGTGAGCAGAGGGTGGGTGATGGATGACAGGACAGACAGATGGATGGACAGGAGGCTGGGGGTCCAGGGACACAACCCTTGAGGGGGCACAGCTGAGGCTGCATCCTGGGCCACTGACCCCACAGCCGGTGCTGCCCCCAGGAACCTGAAACTGACCTTTCTTCTCTCCTGGGCTTGAGCCGGGCTCCAGCTGAGACCCTTGCCTTGCTCATGGAGGACAGACAGTGTGTTGTCCTTTGTGTCCCTAGTGGGTGAGGACATAACAGAGCCACATCACCCCACCCGCCATCTCTGGTTGAGCTCAGATGGGACAGGGTGACTCACTGGGACGTCACCTCCAGGAGCCCCTGTACTGCCTGGAGGAGGTGCCATCTGGGGCTTTGGGGGGCGCCTGTTCTGCACTGAGCTGCTTGGGCCCAAGCCCAGGAGGCAGACGGAGCTCGCCGCTCCTCCCACCAGCTTCACGGACAGGAGAGCAGGCGGCTCCCGAGGCCTGCGGGGAGGGGCTGTGGGCAGGCTGTGCCCCTGCAGGGAGTGTCCGGCTGCCCCCCAGGTGTGGTGGAGGCTCACAGGACCCTGGCTGGGCTCTGCTCCATCTGTTCTGCTGTGTAGCTTCTTGGCCTCTTAAGAGGCCAGGTGGGTGTGGACACTGAGCGCTGGGTGCCCAGGGCCACCTGAGTTGGTTTTCAGGGTACTCACCTCCTTCCTGCACCTGTGTCTCCAGGCCACACCTTACCTCGTCCCCAGGCAGCTGTGTCCTCAACCTTGAGCTACCCAGTATCCGTGTCCTCAGAAGGCCTGCTGACCCAGAATGACCTGGCTCCCTCCTGGCTGTCCGTGGTCAGCCTCCCTCTGGGGCAGGCTCTGCAGAGGAGCACAGTCCTGCCTGTCCTGGCCACAGGTGGCTGCTGGCAGTGGGCCCCGGGAGCTGCAGGGCGGGCTGGAGCTGGGGAGCCACCTCGTCTGGGCCTCAGTTCCTTGACTGTCCCTGCAGGGAGGGGACCACGGGGCCTGGAGTCCCCAGCTGGTGTTCCGTCTTCTCATACAGATACGCGAGCACCAGTCCTGTGTCTGGGCTGAGTTCGCCAGTCCCTCAGAACTGGGCCAGAGCCCTGGCCTGTGGCCGCCTGTGGGTTCAGCTGCAGCTGGGTGGCAGTGGCCCTGCCCCTGTGAGCGTCCATGGAACCTGCAGCCCAGGAGGGGGGAGGGTCTCTGCCTTTGGGTGACCCTCTTAGGAGGGTGGGGCCAGCGCCCTGGCCTCTCTCCTCAGCGGTTGAGCTGGGCAGTCCTCCAGGACTGGGCCCAGCCACCCCCCACGGTGACCTGCTCAGTAACACTGGGCTCCTGGCTCTGTCTTCCCTGTCCCACCTCCTTGCCCCTCACTCTTTATTGACACCTGGGACCCCCCAGATATGCCACCTGCATCCCCAGCCTCTCGACTCAGCCTCAAGGGATGGAGACCAAGACCAGAGAAGCGGGCACAAGAGGGTCGTGGAAATACATGGAGATGAGCCACGGGGACAGTCGGCACATGACGTGGCCCCCTCTGTAGCGGCTCTGAGAAGCTGGCGGATGCCCCTGCAGCGGGGGCGAGCAGCCACAGTGGAGAGGGAGGCTCAGCTGGGTCTGGAGGCTGTCAGCCTGGAAGCTGGGGCTCTGGGAAGGAGCCTGCTCCTGGGTGGCTGGTGAGGGGCGTATCTGGGCTCCTCTGCCTGCTCTAGAATTGGAAGCAAGGGCAAATGGTAGGGTGGCTGTGGGCTCGTCATCGGGCTGTGCCATCTCAGACGACTGCTGCAGAGCTGTCCTTGGACCCCGGGTTGTCCCTCGAGATGGCGCCTGCCCTCCTCTGAGTGTGCTCTATCAGGTTGGCCTCCTGGCTGTGCCGTAGCCAAGGGATGGATTCTAGCAGGGCGCAGGCCGTGGTCCCACCTGTTTCCATGTGTGGCCTGGCTCCACCTGTGTCCCCTGGCTCTCAGTATGATCACAGAAAGCTCTTGGCACAGGGTTTGGTCCAGGGAGCTCCCTGGGGCAGCTTGTGGACATGGTAGATCTGGCCCACCCAAATGAGGGGTGCTCAGCAGATGGGGTGGGGTGAGGCAACTTGGCCTCTCCCCAGAGCCCCCAGCCTGTCTGACAGCTTGCCTGCCGTGCCAGGGTCCTATGGCCGCCGCATTAGATGCCCACAAATGAGGGTTTAAAACAACACCAGGTCATGACCTTGCCGTGCTGGACGTCAGATGCCTGACCTGGGTCACACAGGCGGTAGAGCCCGGGCTGGCACTCCTGGGCCCGCTGCCCTTCCACCGTCTTGGAGGCTACAGTGTTGCTCCTCTGGCCCTTCCACAGCCTCATCTCTGCTGACCACTGGGAGGAGGCGTCCTTGATGTCAGGGCCCCGGGCTGATGCTGGGCAAACAGGGGGCAGGCTCTCCTCCTGTCCAGCTCCTAGAAGACAAGCCTGCTCAGCCGCTTCCGTTACGGAGGGGATTTGTGCACAGGGCTGGAGACCAGAACCCACACTTGGGCGTCTGGCCACCTACCCCAGGCCACACCCCTGTGCTTGTCTGACCTCGGACCTCTGACCTCCAACCTTTGACCTCCTCAGTCCCTTTGAGTGGTTCCCTTGGGCAGGCACATTGACACACTGAGCCCCAGCTGCACATGGCCTTTCTTGGCCAGCGATGCTGCTGCTCTCGCATCTCCCCACCCCGCCCGCAGACCCACTGCGGCTCCTGCCTGCACCCAGTGGGTCTGCAGCTCCTCCACCTAACCAATCCTCCCTCTGGCTCCAGAGCTGGGCAGCTCCCCTGAGCCTCCACCTGCCGGCGCAGCTGCCTGGGGCTCCTCTCCTGCTCTGGCTGCCCTGGTGACCCTGGGTGGCCCTAGCATGCGGTGCTCCGGCCTCCCTGCCCAGGGGGGATGTGGCTGAGGAAGGCAGGGAGCGGTCAGGTGCCCAGGGTCGGCCACAGTGCCATCACACAGCCCTCATCCCTGGCTCCCAGCGCCTCCTTATACCCTGCACTGTGGCCAACCTTAAGGGACAGCAAGGATGCAGACCCACGTCCCGGGACCCAGAAGACACGCAGCAAGGTCCCCTGGGAAGTGCTGCTGCACTCACAGAGCAGAGGCCCATCCCCTGCAGAGGCCAGGAGCTCGCTGGGGAGGTCCTGCCTGGGGGAGCAGCAGGGCTTGGCCGCCTTGGGAGGGCAGCAACGTTCTGGTCACTCAGGTGAGGGGCCAGGATGCTCGTGGCGTGGGGCTCATTGCAGGTGACCAGGTGGCTTTGGCCCTCAGGGTTGCTACCTGTCACATGCTCTGACTCTTCACTGGTCCCAGGCAAGAGTGGGCCAGAGTCCCTCCTGGATGCCTGGGGCGCTGGGGCGGCCACCCACCCTCTAACACGCTGCTTTTTCTGTCCACAGTGTCACAGCCGCAGGCCTCTCACAGCCCCCTGGAGCCGCCGCCGGCCACTGCAATCCTGTGCACCACGTGTGGCTCCGTGTGCAAGGGGGAGGTGCTGCGGGTGCAGAGCAAGTACTTCCACATCAGGTGCTTCGTCTGCAAAGGTGAGTGCCCGCCGCCAGCCCACAGCCCGCGGCTGGCCGCAGGGGGGACAGCCTGGGGCCTCGGCCTTCCCACCCAGCCAAGGGCGCCCCACCCGGCCGGGGAGCGCCACCATTTTGTTCCCAGTGAAGAGCCCTGTCCTTTTCCTCTAGTTGTGAGAATACCGTGAGCAACATGCTGAAGGCAAATAACTGACAAGATGAATGGGAACGGAACCCCGGGGTCTCTCCCCGCTGCCAGCCCCCGGACCGTGTGCGGCTGCCCTTAATTCCCTAGAGACCCATGAAACAGCCTCTGGGGACACAAGTCAAAGCCCCGGGGTGACCCACTGACCCCAGGCCGCAGTGTAGGACGGACCCACCGCAGCCTCCTGACCACTCCCACGCCGGCCGCTGGGGTTGTCCAGAGCTTGGACTCTGGGCTCCTCTGTGGCCCCGACCCAGGTTGTCCCTCCCGGGTTCCTGGGGAAGTGCCCAGGGTCCTCCCCGTAGGGAAAGGGGACAGCGAGCACAGGGGAAGCCCTGTCCCACCCACAGGCCTTGTGTCCCCCAACAGGCCACAGGGCGCAGCCACGTGAGTCCCGCTGTGGGAAGGGAAACCCAGAAGTGCCCCGGGCCACCAACCCAGGGAGGTCGCACACCCAGGAGGCACACAGGGCCTGGTGGGGGACGGTGACTTGGGGACCACAGCGATTCCCCTCTTCTCGCATCTCTGAAGCCTTGAGGGGCCGGCAGGGGCAGCAGAGCCGGTCCCTTGGCAGAAGCTGGCCGCAGCCCACCCCTCAGGGCCGCATCCATGGGGGCAACCATCCTGCCAGTCCCAGGTGTCACCTGGATCCAGGCGTCTGCTGTGTGCCCAGGGTTGAGCTGGGCCCCATCAATTCTCAGGTGCACCCTGTTCCCCGCGCCCCCTCCCTCTAACAAGGCACCAGAATCAGGGTCGGTGATGGGGACGCCCCTGATGACGCCCTGGGCGGTTGGAAAGGACAGTGAGGGGAAGGGCGGCCCTAGCATACCTGCAAGGAACAGCTTCCTGGGACATGGAACAGAGGCCAGTGGAGGGTGACCTCCAGTCACACAGCACCCAGGCTCCTGTCCCCGTGGTGCCACCTCCACCACCAGGATGAGGGGATATGTGCTTCGGGGGCTTTGCCGTCCCCCTGGGCCTCCCACAGCCCAGCAGTTCCTCCTGTTCCTAAGGGCTCTCCGGGTCCTGTCTGGCCCCCTCTTGCCGGCTCTGCAGGGGACGTCCCTCCGTTTCTGAGACGCAGGGTCCATCGGGTGGCCCTTCAGAGGCTGTTAGAAGGGGGACACACGTCCTCTAAAAGGCTTTCCCACCAGCTGACCCCAGGACTGCAGTGAGGAGCAGGGCCTGGCCAGCCCATCCCCCGTGGCCCCAGGCGGGCAGGTGGTGGGGTCGACTGTCTCCCCTTCCTGCCGACCAGGTCAGCGAGGCCGGCCAGCACGGCCACACTGTTGGTGGGGCTCCCTGAGGCCAGCTGGGGACAGCCGTGGCAGTGGGGGCAGGAGCCTGGACACACGGGCCTGGTCCAGCCCCACCTGCCTTCCATGACCAGGGGCAGGTGCCAGGCTGGCTCTGGGGTGTGCCCAGGAGGTCCCTGTGCCCCTGCTCGGGAGTGCAGAGCCACGGAGGTCCCTGTCAGCTCTGCACACAGCCGTGTGTCCGAGCACGGACCATCGTGGTCTTGGGCTGGTGTGTCGCCCAGGCTCCGTGGGGACACAGGTTCCCAAGCTCCTGGCGCTGGGGGTGGTGGGAAGGAGAGCCAGCTCACAGTGTTCGCCAACGTGGACGTGACACCTTGACGTGAAACCTGGAGGGGCCCCACCCCACCTCAGGGCTGTCCATTTAACAACCCAACAGGGTCATCAGGACTCAGCTTCCTTCCCTACCCCACCCTGACTGTCCCCTCTTCCACGTCCCATCTGGGCATGACACTGCTGCCTCTCCTCAAGGTCTCAAGATGGTTGCTGTGGCTCCAACAGCCACCCTCACAGGTGGCCAGCAGCTGGGGGCTGTACAGCAGAGGGCCTTCTCCTTTTCTTGAGGTCCCCCAGACTTACCACGGCACTCGCTGGCCATTCCTGGCCCACATGGCCATTCGACTGTCCAACAGGAACAGGACAGTTGTGACTTGGCCCAGTCACACCCATCCCGGGGCTGGGGGCACCTTACCAGTCAAACTAAAGCAGGTCGGCCAGCTGGGGATGCCCAGGCCCCGAGGAATCCTGACTCAGGTCTGTTGTGTCTGGTGCCTGCCCTGGGCATCGTTCCCGTGCCACCCTTCCCCGGGGAAGCCCAGTGGAGAAATGGCCGCTCTGGGTCCAGACTGCTGTGTGCAGCGGGTACGGCTCTTGGCCACGGAGACACCCCTGGACACCCCCTTGCGCATTGAGCACCTACTGTGTGTCAGACGCAGCTCTCAGTGGGGGATGCATGGGAACAAGGACGTCCCTGCCACAGGAGCCTTGTGTTCCCCGTGAGGAGGCAGAGGCCCAGGGGGGCACAGGCCTCCCTCCCTGGAGGGGGACAGGCATGCCCTGGAGGGGTGCTGCCGGCCATGCTGGGCTGGAGCCGTTGCAGCCCAGCGCTGGGCACGGGCCGTAGGTGTGGCTCAGGGGACTCCCTCCGGCTTTGCCACCTGTTGGAGGCCTGGGGCGAGCGGCCGCCTGTGGGCGCACCTTCATTGTCAGGCTGTGACAGGAGCTGCCCGGGTCAGCGGTGAGGTGCAGTCACGGGGCTCTCCAGATGGGGGTGGGGGCTGCGAGCTGTCACCCTGGGCCTGGACAGCTGGTGGCCCAGGGCTGAGGGGCTTCCCTGGGACACGGGGTCAGCTGGGCACACAGTAGGCTGCTCCCTCCAGTCTGCACACGGCTCCCGAGCGCTCCCGGGCCTGGAGAGGGATGGGGCAGGGGCGCCTGTGCTGCCCGGGGTGGCCCCTGCTGCCTAGTGACAATGGCTTCCCCGGGCCCAGCAGCTCCAGAGGGGGAGCCGGCGTGGCAGGAGACAAAGCAGCCCGTCTCCTCCCGCAGCGCTGCCTGCCACACTGTGGGGTGTGGGGACAAGGAGACCAGGGCAGGATGCCCGTCCTCCCCCAGGCCTCGCCCAGAACAGAGCCGGGCCCGTGTAGGAACTCAGGCTGTCACCCGTCCCCTGTGCAGCGTGTGGAGACCACCCACCTGGTGTAGGAGGGGCCCTGGGGACGTGGACACCCCATCTGTCCCAGCCAGGACAGAGGCTGGCCTGTCCCCTGCCCCCCAGCTAGCCCACCTCTCATCCTGAGAGCGCGCCCCTTTCCGGGAGCTTCCGTAGGCAAAGTCCACTCGAGAGGCTTCTGGCCTGTGGGCTGAGATCCACTGCACTCCAGGCCAGGAGTCTGGCCTCAGGGGACCCGACACCCGGGCCTGTGCCATGCTTGTGGCCTGGGGAGGGTCACCCTGATGACGCCGGGCCTGTCCCCCCAGCCTGTGGCTGTGACCTGGCCGAGGGCGGCTTCTTCGTGCGGCAGGGCGAGTACATCTGCTCCCAGGACTACCAGCGGCTCTACGGCACCCGCTGCTACAGCTGCGACCAGTTCATCGAGGGCGAGGTGGTGTCCGCGCTGGGCAAGACCTACCACCCCGACTGCTTCGTGTGCGCCGTCTGCCGGTGAGTGGCCCCTGGGCACAGTGCTTCCTCCTCCCCCACTGCCAACCTCCCAAGCCTGCGCCAGGCACAGAGAGGTGAAGCGACTTGTCGGGCCGCACAGCAGCCCTCCTGTCACGTCCATCTGTAGAACTACCCCACCCGACAGGCACGGGGCCTCTTCCCAGAACCCCAGCTCCTCCTCCCAATGCCCATGCAGCCACTGTCCCACCCAGACTGAAACTCCTGGGCCTCCACAGCCTGCCCTCCCCTCTGCCTCGCTCCCCGTGCCACGCTGCTCCCGTGGCCCCTAAGAGAACAGCCGAGCCCCTTGGCCTGGCAGAGGAGTCTCCCAGTCTGTTCCCTCCACCGGTCCCTTCAGCACCCTTGGGTGCCAGACCCAGGCTGCCTGCTGACTGACAGGTGCATAGCCCTGCCCTGCAGTCTCCGCTGCCCAGCGCCTCCTGCAGGCTCCACTGCCTGCCCTCCCTCCTGCGGTCCCCGCTGCATGCCATGCGGTGCCCTGGCCCCAGGACTGTGCCCTTCTCCAGCCCGTGGCTGTGGCTGCCTGGCGGGGGTCCGGGAAGGGCAGGGGCTGCATCTCACTCCTCCCTGGCACCCGGGGCCTGGCACAGAGCTAGCATGGTGGCCACGGAGAGGGTGGGTCCTCACCCCGCTGCAGGGCCCCCGCTCCCCTCTGCCTGCTGCAGCCCCTGGGCCGAGCAGGAGCCAGCGGGCAGCTGCCCAGCCAGCCTGACCGCGCTCTCCCGGGAGGACGTTCCATTTCTAGGAAACAAAGAGGGAGAGAATAGAAGGCAGGGTCCGCTTCCTGCCCGCTGCGGCACCACACCCAGGACGGACCAGCTGTCCACTCCAACACTCCCTGTGGTCACAGCGGGAACGCGGTCAGCTTTTGTCAGAGGATGGGGACGAGGGGAAGTGGGGACACAGGAACACGTCCCTGAAAGGGCCCTCTGTGGGCCCAGCCCGCAGGCCTGGCATCATCTGGGCTGTGGTTCTGAGTGTGGCTTAGAGACCAGGGTGGCGGGTCCCTGTAGCCTGAGAGGTCCCTCTGGATAACCCACTGTTTCACAGATGACAACAGACAGTGCTGGTCACGCAGGCGTCGTGGCCTGGGATCCTCACCCACCTAAACAAGCAGAAGGTGGAACCAAACCCTGTCCATCTGCTGGCTTCAGCCACCAGAGCAGGCGGGCGTGGGGGTGAGGTGGCATCTGCCCGGTCGTGGCCCAGCAGCCTTTTGAAGCTGGGCAGAGCGTGGAGTCCTCTGGGTGAGGACCGGGGAGGCGGGGCAGTGGGGAGAGCATAGCATGTGGCCGCCTGAGGTCTGTGGAGGATGCCTCTGAGGCTTGGGCCAAATACCAAGCCATGGACACACAGAGGGAGTGGCCTGAGGTGGGCAGAGAGTGACCAGGTGGCTGCTGGCCCAGCAAGTCCCAGTTCTAAGCTGCTGAACCCCAAGACACAGCAGGGACCTCAGGACTTACCAGTGTGACTGAAATAGCCCTGAAGGAAGACTACGGCCATCCCCCACCAAGGGCCGCCTCAGAGGATCGTGCTGGTCTTGAGGTGGACAGGCCTACCCGGCCAGCGCCCCCCACTCTGCAGGAAAATGAGACCCAGCCCACAAAACCAGAATCTGGGATGTCCAGCACCCCAAAATGCACTGGTCCTAAGAAACTAGAACATGTGACCTCCCCAGAAGGAGACACCCAGGGAGCAGACCCCACAGGACAGTGTGGTGTGCCCTGGACCACGACTCTATACCATCGGTGTGGGAATGCAAGGGCGGACAGATGCAGGAGGTCCGGGGTGGGGGGACGAGAAGCGGCCAGGGGGTGCAGAGGTGAGGACACAGTTCCTGAAATGAAACCCCCGGGAGGAACCAGCAGAGGGTCAGGAGGACAGAGGAAGTTTGGTGGCACAGATCAGCCGAGGGCTCCGGACTCAGCTCAGAGAGAAGAAGACCCGGGCCAGGAAAGAGCCGGTGAAGGGAGGGGACGGACTCTCCCGCCCCTGCCTGCCGGTCCCTCTGCCCATCCACCCAGGTGGGCGGGAGGCCAGAGCGCACTTGCAGAAATAATAGATGAAAATTTTCCAAATTTGATGAGAACCACAAACCCAAGGATCACAAAGTGCCCAAAACAGGACAAACCCCAGACCTACCACGTCCTCACAGCCACGTTGGCCACCAAGAATCATAGCTGTGACAAGA